ATAAATAAATAAGAGTATATAGGCTACACTAAATATACATTTAAAAAAAACTTATCACAGGTTTAATGTTAGTCTCTTTTGGTGAAAACAGTTTCCTACTTCACCATAGTCAGTTTTTAAAATCATGTATACAGTGCACAAATAAACAACTCAGTAAATGTAGCCTTTTTTTATTGTAATCACTTTTATTTGATATTTATAAATTGTATTTATTTTAATAACCCAAGAAAACATGTCATTGTGAGCTGAAGTATAATTATTCAGCACTTCGAAGACTACAATGTATTTTGAATCATTAAGAAACAAGACCATTATAAATTAAATATCTGGTTTAACTGATTTGTGCAGGTGCTGAACAAACATATCTGTGTTCGGATCCATCAATGCAACTTTTAGGAATCCATATCTTCTGGCTCTGAGCTAAAACACAGCTGGCATCAGAGCTAGTGTGCGCCTCGTGATCCTTCCTGAGTTTGGAGAACGTCAGTGGTTTTCCATCTGTCCAGCACCACTGCTTTGGACCGCCAGAGAGTCCTGCACAAATCACACCAATATTCTTACACACGGGACAGTTTACATTCAGTGTTCTGGTGATTCCAAAAATGTACAGGATCTTATTTGCTTACCGATCCAGAATGATTGCTTTCCAGCAAACTTCCACATCCACTTCATATCAGTCTTTGAGTGGATACTGGCCAGTTCACTTTCAAGCCTACATTTTGGAGTAATAACATTAATATTTAGAAGGTATGTAGTCTCAATGCATGCATATACATGTTCCTCTGACAGCAAAGATGTGTAACGTACAGCATGCAAGCATGTTGTGTGCTGCTCCAGCTAGCACTACCAGGCCCCAAAATATAGCAGTTCCTCCGGTAGTGAGTCCAGCCATTAGGACAATCAATACTAACAGACTTCTGAGACTTTAAAAAGAGAGGAAAGAATTATAAAATGAAAGCTCATTACATTATAAACAAACATTTGAGAAAGTATAAAGGAAGCTTAGATGTTCTCTTTTTGATCTATACATACACAACAGCTAATTCACAGTGTGGGGCTAAGAAATTATACCTTGTGTTGTTGCACTCCTGAATCAACTACAAAAGAGGCTGAGTCGTGCTGGGGAGTTTCTACTGATTCAGCAGAATATCCAGGCCAGGTCCAGATGGGAGTGATCTCCAGTTCAGAGTGGACACGAGGTGCTAGTGCCTTCTCCTCCACTCTCACTGGGATCAGTCCATGAAACTAATGGATGACAGAGTGACGACACACACAGCAGATTTATAATAATGGAAAAATAACTAACTAACTAAATAAATGAATAAATAAACAAATTATTATTAATAATAATAATAATAATAATAATTCTGAATAAATAGGCTTATCACTGAAACTAATAAATAAATATCAATAAATACATGAATAATAACTAATAAATAAATACTAAAAAATTAATAAGAAACACAGAAATAGTTAAATTAAATAAATAACACTAAAGAATAAATAAAAGAATTAATTAATAGTAGTCAAAATAATACAACTAAATAAAGATAATACCACTAAATAAAAAATATACAACCAATAAACAAATAAACAAAATTAATACTAAATAAAAAACACTACTAAATAAATATTTCTAATACTAATGTTTATCTTCGACTAATAAACAAATAATACGACTAAATAAATAGATAAATATAATACCCCTACTATTAAAGAAATAGGACTATAATCAACCAACAAACAAATACTACTACTACATAAATATTACTAATAAATGAATAATATTGCAATCAATAAATACTAAGGAATAAATAAATAAAAAACAAATAAACACAAATAAATAAATACAACAAATATTACTAATAAACTAAATGCTACAACAAACAAATTAATACTAATAAATAAATAAAGAAAGAAATAACACTAACATTAAATAAATAACACTAACATTAAATAAATAACACTAACACTAAATAAATAACACTAACAAATAAAAAAATAACATTAACAAATAAATGAGGCAACCAACCAAACAAGTAAAGGCAACCAAAAAAAAAACCCAAATAATTAACTCGACAAACAAACTAACTAAATAACACGAATGAATGAATAAAGTACTAATACTACTACTAAATAAATAAATAAACCTTAATGAACACTCTGAAATTAAGCAAAAAACAAAAAAGTTGGCAGAACAAAAAATAAAACGTACTCTCCAAACTCTTTCTTGATTTCTCTTGTCCACCTCTGACAGATGTGGCTAAAAACAAAATCAGATAAGTTAAGATTAACTACTACTACTAATGTTATTTTTTTATATACCATACTAGATACATTATACGAAGTAAATGTTGTAGCTGAGGTGACCTGACTCACTCGGTGCCCGTTTCTACCCAGGAACCTCAGCTGTCTTTGGCCCGGACTGTGAAAGGCCTCCTGGTCCTGATGTTCTCCCTCGCTGTAATGGCTGAAATGTGTGCGATATGGGACGTCCCCTCTTGGTGGATAGTTCTCCCAAAGGACTCCGCTCCTTGGGTCTGGAGTGTATTCCTCAAGTAGAGGTGGTTCAGGTTCTGGGATGCGTGGTGGGTTTTGGAAAGGATGTTGCTTCTCATCTTCTTCAACAATAAGCTCATCTGGATTACACCGACCTGGAAGATGGAAATATTTTCAGTTTATATAGAAAGAGCAGAATGTGGGTATGTAAAACTACAAGATTTTTGCAGAAGACTTCTTTCCACCATTTCTCGGATCCACAATCTCAACTGTGGCCTTGTTCCTCTGTCCCAAAACAGCATTTTTTGGGGTCTTCAGAACCACATCAAATTTCTCATGGTTCTCTTCTAGTCTGTCATCTTTGAAGTAAATGTTCCACATTTTGACATTTACACCTAAAAACAAAGATAGACCACAGATTGAGCATATTCTAAAGATAAAGAATTAAAAAGTAAATCGAAAAAGCGATAACCACCTGGATCAAACTGTATAAGGTTGGCAGAACTGTGAGTGAAATCTTTCCCCACTTTGGCTGTTCCTTCTTCCACCTGTAAGATGCAATCATTCAATCATCTAAAACTTCATCTATGCATGATAGTAAAATGAGCTAAGATAGTTAACTGCACCTGTATGCCGATGTACGCCGGATCTTTGCCGTTCCCACTGCGCACCACCTGCAAAGCTAGAGTTCCTGTGTTCTCACAAACACGATAACAGGAAGCCGACAGCTCCACACGAGACCACCTGAACTCCATCCTGTGTTGGCAGTCAAAAAAGCCAAGAATCACATTGGGTCTGAAATTATATTGTCTAGAATTGAGACAGAATCCAGATCATATTTGGAAATGTGGAATACAAGCTGTCAACTGTCTTACTCGCACCAAAGAAAATAATAAAAAATTATGTTTATTACCAGAGGCAATGGAATATTTCTCTGTATTCGCTGTGTTTATATTTTTATTTTAAGATATTTATATATTTTATTATTATCTTTATATTGTTTATATTATTGTATTACTGTATATTGTTGTATATATTTATGATTTATATTTGATAAAAATGCAGATCCATTTTAACCAAATGACTCACTGAATTCTTGATTTTAAGACATATATAGATATTAAAATGATATATAAGAAGAAAGAAATATTTAATTATCTCCAGGCCTTTAATGTATTTGTGTGCATGCGTGTGTGCAGAGATAGATATACATATAGCACATATTCAAGGCCAAGAGGTAATGAAATATTTCTCTATATTATAATGTATACTTTGTAATGCATTATTATTTTGTATTATTTTATATATTTATGATTTATATTTTATGAAACAGTTAATCATTTTACCAAATCCAAATGACTTACTGAAATTGATAGAAAAACAATAATATTATATTAATATGTAAATGCATAATATGATATAATTAATATGTTGGAAATATTAAAATATTAATATAATTTGATATAATGGAATATTTCTCTGTATGATCATATATATATATATATATATATATATATATATATAATTATTACTT